AAGGTATGTAATCGATTATTACCTGAATGCACCTGATTTCATACGAGATTCATAACAAAAAAATTCGTTTTTATGACATACATGATTCTGATTATTAAAAATTGGGAACTAATTCAGTAAGACATTTTCCAAGACAAATTTCAAACAGAAATATGTATAAACTTTCGTGTCGTGATGGTCCAACTCTAGAGTCGCTGATATCGTCACTTTTCAATCCCTTGTTAATTTAATTTTCATGTGTCGCTTTTGCCATGACGAATATCTCTGTACTTTAGCTGTATGTGTTGGCAAACAATTACAGTACTCCAACACGGATTCACGTAATTGCTGATACTTTTGTTTGCAATCTTCAGTTCGTATAAAACAGGGAACGTCTGCATTTCCAGTACAAACAGTCGGAAAAGTGGAAAAGCGTGTTTCTGTTTGTAACGGTCTCTCTGAACGCGACAAATTTCATGATTATTTGCTTTCAAAAAGAACTGTTTTCATTCCGACTGGTAAAAGGGATAGACGCATCGCAATGCTGAGAATTCAATTTTTTGCTCGTTGGAAAATGGTATTATATGAACATCGACTGTTTATCGTGTTGATATTTGCAGTTGCCTGTATTGTCACACGTTGTGCATCACAAAATTGCCAAGCTTAATTTCAGCATGACGCTATCCACCACCATGAAATGTCGCAATGTAGCGAAAACTGACAGGAACTAGCAATGATTAGCGTGTTGTCCTATTCACATACAATTTCCATTATCACAGTTGTGTTGCCAAGTAGGATCGCAAAAAATCCCTTAAACACAGTATCAGCCCAAAGAGAAAGGCTACTTTGTCATTATTGTGCGACGATCTCCACCTATTAATTGTTTGGTCGACCAATCTAGCAGCCACAATACCAAGTATCCACAGAGCAGATTAACAATGGACTTCTATGCAGAAATAAATGTGATTAAAACGTCACACATCAGTGCGGTATAGGTCTAGTGCTTCTGACAGATTAACGGAAAGCAAACAATATGGTCGTTTGAAAAACTCAAAATACTGTGCGGAGGTAGGCCAAGAATCTGACAAGCTCCATCTACCAATACTTTTTCAAGTTGATCTCCCTCCTTATTCCGTATGATGAAAGATGACGGAAGACCTCTTCGCTACCGGCTCATACTTCAGCAGATTTATTATTCTTACAACATATGTTAACTAAATTAAATATTAAGTGTTTTTTGATCGTATTGTTTGTAATAGCTTATGTATCTTGGTAGTAGTGCTTCATGTGTATTTATTTGACTGTTTTTAACATTTTTCGAAACACTTAAAAGTGAAACTGGCGGTTAGACCTCGTTTTTTTTCATACATGTTTAACAAATACTTCTAGTACTACTTTAATGGAATTAAATAAAATAAAACCATTTATACTCTAATTCAATAATATGAAAGCTTAACTTAATCTACATCGGCTATATCGGTATGTTTGTTTAACCTAGTTGTTTTGAAGGAGGAAAGTCCCAAATTTTAGGTTACACTGTATATATAAGTGATTAGTGACTCCTCGATTTTGTATGCTTTTTGTGGAATATACTTGAAGTTTGTGATGCTTTAATATATATAACAAATTCTTGAAGTAATTTTAAATGTAGTTTAAGAGACGTTCAATCAGTGATCAACGGATTCTACCTGAAGATATAAAACCTAGTGCGATACAATGAGATACCGTAGCCTCGTGTATGAGAATTTGTCACAGCTGTTTCTGTGTTTACTATGTTACTTCAAGAAGTCGTATAGATCGAAAAAATGCAAGATAGAAATCTTGAGGTTGCATTCCTAATGCAATCGAAGACGAAAAGCCCAGGAGGAAAGTCTGTTCTGTGTTAATAGCAAGCTTTAAAAAATATTTATTTCCATTTTCAGGACATGCTACTAAAATATTGAATTACTACAATATTAATAGAAAAATAATTACTTATTTATTTATTGAACCTTGAAATTTTGTGAGAAGATATGACATATAAAAACTTGACCGGAAGTGAGTATGAAACCAGAATTTTAAATAAGACCCTGTATATATTTTTACATATTCTCATAAAGCTTAAAATTCCCTCTTCAACGATGTGTTACAAGTTGTAATTTTTTTTTTCGGAATGGCGGTGTAAATGGCATTTACGCCAAATTGAATATGACGGCGTTTTGACAGTACCTATAGATTTTTTTGAAAACCACCCGCTGAAATAAGAGGCAAAATCGATTCTCTTGCAGCTTCTTCATAAAGTTGACAAAACAAAAAAGAATATCATAAATTTGCGCCCATTTTAGTTTTTGCTTAAAATGTCAAAATGTATTGAGAACATCTACGGAACAACAAACATTGAATATACCAGCAGGATGGCGCCCCTGCCCATAACTCTAGGGTTGTAACTAATTACTTAAATGAATGACTTCTTGGAAATTCGCTAGGAACGAACGAACCAATCCGTTGGCCTGCAAGGTCGCCAGATTTAACCCCTATGGATTTTCCAATTTGGGGCTATTTAAAAGAAAAAGTTTATGCCACTGTAATGGAAAATAGAATTAGAACAGCCATTGAGTCAGGTTATATCAACAACCCGGCGGCCAACGCATAGACCACTTAATTGAATGATTTTTCCTAATTTTTAATTAGCAGTAATTTATCTGCTAAGTTATTTGTTATTTAGTTAATTTTGTTACTTAGTTTTTACTATGCTAATTTCTGTTATTGCTCTTGTTATCGTTAGAAATGAAAAAATACAAAAAAACCTACTGTTGAGCATTTTTTTTTTTCGGAAATAAGACGCTCTTCATTGTTAGCAGTTAGAAAGCTCCGTTTCCTACTCAAAATTCTGAGAAAATTTCAAATACATTTTGACATTTTAAGTAAAAACAAAAATGGTTCCAAATTTATGACAATTTTTTTGTTTTGCCAACTCATTGGAGAAGCGGCAATAGATATTTTGCCTCTTAAATTAGCGGGTAGTTTGGCAAAAAATCCATAGATACTGTCAAAACGCCGCCATATTGAATTTAGCCATTTATGACGCCATTTTGAAAAAGATGGCAACTTGTGATACATCGTTGAAAAGGAAATTTAAAGCTCTGCGCAAATATGTAAAAATATGTACAGACTCCTATTTAAAATTCTTGTTTCATACGCACTTCCGGTCAAACCGGAAGCGATATTCAGTTGTTTTTAATGAAGCTTTTATAAGTCATATCTTCACATAAAATTTCAAGGTTCGTCTTGTAACAGCAATCGAATAGTGCCTTGTAAAATGATTTCGTTGACACCCGGTATAAATAACATAAATGATGTGTGACAAGTCAGAGGATACAGAATCCATAAAATAAAAGAAAGTCAAACACTTACAATAAAATAAAACGAGGGCACATGATACAAAAACCACAAACAAAACTAAAAATTTTTGTTTAAAAATACCTCAACAGAGTACAAGTATTGATCTAGGAATGCACTCCATTCGTTTTTTTAATTGCATATGGTCTGAGATAGCTTGTTGTAAAAATTCAGAATTAATGAATTTTTAGCAGATATATCTAGTCTATAACCCGGCAGGGTTCCACCCTGTCTTGCATCATATCTGTGGATTTCTGGTTGGATTATGTAGCAATTCGAGTTCTCACACCAGCAGTATCTTTAACATTTGGAAGAGCGGTTTGCCGTTATCATTGAACTTAGCACCAGCTTTAATCCTCACTGGACGTTTTTGGATTTTGAAGGCACGCACAATGTGACATGATCCTCCCCAAGTCATGGCGCCATAGATCAGATGCTAGTGAAATATGCCAAAATACGCATTTGAAACGCCTTCTTTCGTAGATATACGTTGTACTTGTAGTTGTCGCAATACGAATAGTTGTGTTGAAGGTTTTTTACATAAAGGGTCTACATCGTCTTTTGAGTTTTGTCTCTATTAAGTTTTAAGCAGTTCGTCGCAAACCATCTTTTTACTTTGAATTCCAAGAGCATAGTGTTTGCAATGAGCACATTTTTGACCTCATGCGACTGAACTAAGGTAGTGTCGTCAGCAAAACACACGCAGCTTATTGATTATAAATAATGGAAGATCACTCAAATCAATTAAAAAAAAGTGACGGCTCTAAAATAGAGCCTTGCAGTCCACTATATTCTGTTGATTTGTAGTTGGATTCTTCACCATCCACAAACACTACTTGATAACGATTTACCAGATAAGAATAGAAAAAGGGTGTCCACGAATATCGTAAAATTCAACGTTGAAATCCTATTTCAGGATAAACAATCTCAAAGACGGAGAAAAGCATTAGAAAACATGCAAAAAATGACTTCACAGGTCAAATAGGGAACTTATCATTGTTAAAATTCATAAATGATGTTTTTTAAAAACTTATGCAAAAGTCATAATAAGCGATCCAGAAATTATTAAAGCCAAACATGACGGCTGCTCTAGCCGACAGGAACGTGGAACAGTTCCTTATAAATTTTAATTTTAGGAAAGGATAAAAAGAAAAGAGAGATCATGAAGATATACAATTTTGTCAAAGAGACAAGATGTGTAGCCAGTAGCGTCATGCACAACATTTGGAGATAAAAAGGGGGCAGGTTTGTACACACTGGTGGTCAAAAGTGTTGTAGAATATCGCCAAAACGAAGATAAAATTATTTAATCATCAAAGGTAGATGACGAAACAAAAAAGTATAAATTACCAACATTGTTTTTAGAAAGATATTCATTCAAACAAGAAAAATCATCTAAGGATAGTTTACTCAAGTAGGCAGAAACAACCCTTCAGTTTAAAAATGGTAAAACACCTATCTAATGAGACTACGTGGTTGACTCAATAAGGTGAGAAGAGAATTAATTACCCATATAGTTATTGCCAAAACACTGTATCTATTAACTGATGAAAATATGGTATTGAAACAATCGAAAAGACTAAAATTGAGAAAACCGAATGTTTACGAATCTCTCATCTTCCAATCTCAAAACGAATGTATAGATGCTACTTAAATTGCTGACATCTGACTGTTTGTTGAGACTATTGAGGCAATTTAATGAAGTCATAGTCCAAAACCTTGGTGCCGTTCCAATTGACTTCATGGTCAATTTCAATGGCATGTTGTGCAAGACCAAAATTATTGATGTTACCTCAAATGTTACTTTTGTGAGACGTAGGTAGTTAATGGTTTAATCTATAACCAGCTGTTTTTATAGATTTGCTCCACCCTGAATTATTCGTCCATACGAGCCCTTTCACATGCATGATAGATAGGAACTGGCGGCACTGCACTTGCGAAAACAATAATGCACACGTGCAGCGTGCAAGCAGAGAACATGGGAAGTTTATCGAGGATGCTTAAAAGCATCTCCCTCGCTCTCTTTCTCTCTCATTCTGGATACCTGAAAGGATCTTCCTAGCTTTCTCCCTCAATCTACTTCGTGCGCAATGCGTTGTGCTGCCCTGAAAGCTCTCACAGAAAGGAAAATAAATTGCTCGATTACCTGACCGCTTTTTACGTTACACTATACGAGCAGAGGTGAAATGGAAACCTTCTATGCGCTTGAGAAAGATTCTAAATAAATGACATATTGATTGAAAATGCTAGAATATACAGGGTGTCCGCAAAGTTGAGGTTTTCCTTTACACGACGTGTAGATCTTGAAAACATAAGCAACTTTTCTTAGTACCATATACACCAATGTCTTAAGGGAACCGAGATAAAGGCCTCTGCAACATCAAAAATATCTTAATACCATCCTGTAGCCGCGACTCGCGATATCTCCAACTGGTACCGGCTACTAGCTCAACCCGACGACAGAACTGGGTCGGGGGTGGGGGTCAGTGTGTCAGGTCAGTATGCAACCTTCAACCGACGGTTACGGTCACGCGGTCACGCGTGTAGAGGTAAACGAACTCGTATAATCGATTGCGTTTCAAAAAACAACAAGCACTAGAGACGTGGCTAGAGAAGTGCAAGTATCAAAAACTAAAGTGTGACAAACGCTGCGTGAAGAGGGGCTGTATCCGTTTCACGTCCAACGTGTACAAGCCCTTCAACCTGACGATTTTCCAGCAAGAGTGCGGTTTTATGAGTGGTTGTTGCATCAACATGACAATAATCCGGACTTTTTGAAGTGCATATTGGTGACAGACGAATCTACGTTCACGCGCAATGGGGTGAATAACTTTCGCAACACTCATTTTCAACAAACATTTTCGGTGAATGTTTGGGCTGGCATGGTGAACGGTAGGCTCATTGGACCATTTATTCTCCCAAATCGATTGGACGGGATGCAATACCTAGACTGTCTACGTCTGCTCGGTAGCGCATCAGCTGATTTCATTTTCTGTTGTTGCGGTATGATTTCGGGCAGAGACGTACTTAACCCTTCTCGTCAACTGGAGAGTGAGTACTTTAGCCTTTATTTTTTTTTTGGTCGCCCTCGTTTCACTACACATTACCTTTGTTATTTCAAGGGTAGTTGTTTCTGAAAAGGAAAACCCCAACTTTGCGGACACCCTGTATAGATATATGGTTAATAGTAGTATTTATTTACGTTCTCGAACCCGTTGAACTTCTAAAAAAGTGATATTGCGATATCATATTATGGTCAGTACAATACAATATTCTTTTTTAGTTTAGCTTTTGGAAACGGTTGTTACGATATTCGGTGTAGTTATGTTTTATGTAGTAAAAATGGTGTTAAATCAGTTAACTTTACATTTTCCACGCAACAGTTCATACAAAATGGTGGTCGACACAGGTGGTATCCTGATTTGTCTCACAGAGAAACCAAATGGATCAAGGTAGTCAAACAGGCCCGCACAATTAATCCATAAACATTTTTCCCTGACTTTCCGATAGTACCCTCCGTCCATCTGTCAGCGTCGCCCCTCTTCCCATACCTCACCACATCCTCCCGTCAGTTTGGCAGTACGTCAGACGGCAATACATTCATCGGTGATGCTGTGACGCCGCGATCATTCTCAATTTGCAAGGGCAATTTTTAAATCCTACATTTTTTTAAACGTCTGAAAACGAAGATTTTTGTTTCCCTTGACCTCCCCTTAGCTTCTCCGTGACTGGACCGATTTGCAAAAATTATGGCTAAGGGGATGGGGGTGGCTTCCGGCAATACCAGCCGCAAAGCAGCTCCGAGTAAAGCTGGAGGAGTGTATGGTGGTTCTCCGTAATGTCTCCCACGCTGAAGATTAAAATCCCATATGAAAATGGGAGGGGTAGCACTCAAACTCAAACTAAAACAACTTAACGTATGAAGGGATACTACTCCACTAACTGGTGTTTGGCGCCTTATATCCCAGAATCTGGAGTTCAAGCAAACGGCGCTCACACCACAATCTCAGGAGGAAACTGACAGATACGAAACACCTACCTTTATAAAGGAAGGTTCAATGAGTGTCCTTGAAGAAGATACGTTCAACAGCAAACCAAGTGACGGAGAAAAACCACAGAGTTTTCTTTTCCAGTATAATACTGAATCACTGAGCAAAAAAGATATAATACGTGTGAAATTATACAATCAATAAACTATGAAATTTTCCAAAAGAGAGTAATTGAAAAAGGCTTGGCCTAAGAATGGGCGCTCGATCATTAATAAAGAGAAATTCAATTAGGAGTCTAAGATCTGAACAAAAAACGTCTTCCACCGGTATGTCAGCCACTTGAAAACGACATTATATCAAATGAAATAAGTTTTTGAACATCCTTGATTAGGGGCAACCCTTTAAAAAATGGTCATAGATATGTTTAATTAAAATTATAAAAAAATATAATTTTTCAAAATTTTGCCAGAGTGCCAACCAAACAAAACAAACTCCAACGAAGAGTTTATAATGTACACAAATAGCAGCTCCTCAGTTGCTTACCTTTTTCTGGTTCCGATTACATGGCAGCTGCGTTCAAACAGGTAAGTCGATAGGTAATAGTAATTGCACTCTTCTGTCGACCAATCGAGACCAGTCTTAAAATGAAAACAATTTGATTACAAATCACGTAGTATAGGGTTGCTTGAGAAGATCTGTTCGTAGATAGTTGTCGTAAGACTTTGAAGTTGAAAATTCGGGGCGAGCGAAATTTAGTTAGACAGCGAGGCATTGCGCCGTAAACTGTGAGAGAGTGCGCGCAAATTGTATACTCATAGTAAAGACAAAGATAAATGAAATTACTATAGAGCAATGTTTTGAGTAGCCAGTTAGTAAACCCGTGGTGTATTGTAAACATAAATTAAAAATGACGAAAAAGTGTTTTTTATGCAAAAAGTAACTCTGTAATTGATTTTAATGACACGTCGTTCGAACATTGTTCTTTAAAGTTATCGTTTCGACAATTTAAAGGTTTCAAATATAGTGACGTCAAGTTAATCAAAGATTCAATTAAGGTTGAAGGTTATCATTTCTCTTGTTGTAAAAAAATAACATCTTTAAAAAAAATTGCAATGACGATTTGTCAAAAATCCTGAAGTAAGTATATTGTCAATAACGTTTTTTTATTTTTAACATAAAATTGTTTTCCAAATTTTGTTTCAACACAATATCTTAGTTACAATTAAACCGGGAATTTATAAAAGAAAAATAAACAGAATAACAGATTTTCTCATCCAACCCTATACTACGTGATTTGTTATTAAATTGTTTTCATTTTAAGACTGGTCTCTATTGGTCGACAGAAGAGTGCAATTAATATTATCGACTTACCTGTTTGAACGCAGCTGCCAGGAAATAAGGGCAAGAAAAGATAAGCAACTGAGGAGCTGCATTTTGTGTACAGTATAAACTTTTCAATGGAATTTGTTTTGTTTGATTGACACGCCGGCGAAATAATATTCTTTTTATAATTTTAATTAAATATATCTATGACCATTTTTTAAAGGGTTAAAGGGTATGTTCAAAAACTTAAATCATTTGATAAAATGTCATTTTCATCTGGTTGACACTTCGGTGGAGGACGATTTTAGTTCGGATCCTCTACTATAGTCACTGATAAAAATAGTAAAAAAAGGTGACGTGATTTTGGCACGTGACAACATTGTAAATTTCATCACAATCTTAGCAGTATTTTTCAACTTATAGAGACCGACAGGGAGACAGACCGATAGAAATGAGCGACAAGGTTCTTGGTGATCTACATGACATGTAATCTTAAAAAAACACAATTCCCCATTTTCCATTTTTCCCCCATTACAATACTTCTTGGGCAGTAGTGTAGGAAGTAAAATGGTATGCTTAGATGACGCTATCCTCAAAATACTCAAGATTAATCACTTTAGAACCCATATTAATAATTTATTGTTTACATGGGTGAAGGTACAGCTTTAAGATTTTGCTTTCTGCCTGCTTGGCCATTAGCAAACAACTCAAAAATTAATCTCTATTCCGCCTTGAGTTTCTTGTTCAAATTTGCTCGTGGTTAAAAGGTGTTAACATCCTGTTGAGTTTACAAAATGCGGGAATGCACCGCTTTAGAACTTAGATGCAATTACTTTGTTTGTAGCCTGCATACCTGGCTAAAGCTTATAGTTTGATTCAACTGTCCAGTATAGCTTTAATAATTGAATAAAGGCAACTATACTACAACTATTTAAAACTGTAATGACTCATACGCGTGATCAACACGTGATCAGTACAGCCGTATAGCATACGATATATGTCGTTTCTGTGGCTTTGCGGTGGCCAACAGCACAGACAGAGATGGAAATAATGGCTGATTGTTCTCCACCGGTAGAACCAATGAAATCAAAGACGCGCCTCGACCGGCAGACTCATAGGCGTCGGCAACGCATTGGAACGTGTTTCGTTGAGCGATCGCATATTGTGTGTTTTTATAAGAATTGTTGTGTGATTGTTACTGTTGTGGTTTCTGTGGTTACTGTTTTGGTTATACTTAACCATGGAGAGTACAAATGGTACGAGTGGAAGTACTGAAAGCCAGGGAACAAGTAGACTGCTTCGTAAAGCACTGAAGAGGGACGCGAAAGAAATCGTGCTCAACGTGTTCAATTATCTGAACAGAACTATGTCGCAGGGAGATGCACTCGCGCGTTGTGAAAGTATGACAGGCGTTCCAGAGTGGACCATTCGCAGGGTGGTGCATGAAAAGAAGCAAACTGGAGCTACTACTGATCCAAAGTTTAATTTGAAGGGACGAAAGGCCGTTAAATTGGATGACGATACCAAAATGGCGTTAAGGCGAACCGCACATTCATTCTTCTTTAGGAATGAGATACCAACCCTCAAGGCTGTACATGCAGCGAACAAGGAAAATGAAATTATACCCCAAATGAGCGTCGAGGTAATGAGGAAATCGCTGCACGAAATTAATTTTCGTTACGAAACGCGTAATCGGAAGTCAGTATTGATAGAGAGACCTGAAATAGTCGCCTGGCGTCGAAAGTACCTACGCGAAATGATTGAATATAGGCGACAAAGCAGAAAAACCTATTATTTGGAAGAGACATGGGTAAATGCAGGTCACACAGTTAAAAAAACCTGGATAGACAAAAACGTAGTGAGTAACCGACAAGCAAGCATTGAAGGTTTGTTAACAGGTCTTCGTGGACCGTCAGGGAAAGGTCAAAGATTGATCGTAACTCATATTGGTAGCGATAGTGGCTTTTTAGAAGAGTGTGACTTGATTTTCGTCTCTAAGAAAGGAGGTGATTACGATGACGAAATGAATGCCAGCTGCTTCGAGAGCTGGTTTCAAGGGGTGCTTCAGCGAGTTGAGCCCAACTCTGTGATCGTCATGGATAATGCTTCCTACCATAGTCGTCGAGCCGAACGTGTACCGACTATGGGATCTCGAAAAAGTGACATGCAGCAATGGTTGCGCGAAAAAGAAATCCCGTTTGACGATTCATGTGTGAAAGCGGAATTGTATGAAAAAATTAAACAGCACAAACCTGCGAACATTAGTTACGTGACTGATGAGATGGCCCGTCAATGTGGTGTCACTGTGCTGCGGTTACCGCCCTACCACTGTGAACTGAACCCATCTGGGCTCAAGTGAAGGGTTATATTTTGCGCGCCATAACACAACCTTCAAATTACCAGACGTTAAGGTTTTACTTGAGATTTCCATACAGCTAGTAACGCTCGAAGCTTGGCAAAATGCTATCCGTCATGTTGTGAAGGAAGAAACAAAAATGTGAAAGCTTGACCACCACATCGACACCATCATAGAGCCAGTTATAGTCAATTTCAACGAGAAAAGCGATAGCGACAGTTTATTACTGTCAGATGTAAGTGGAAGCGACGATGAATAAAGGTAATTCCCAAATTTTTGGCTTACAATATGTTTCAAACCACTCTTTATTAAGCATGTGACAAATCTAGTTCACACATGTTAAACATTCATACCCCGCCTATGAACAGCCGACTACTGGTAGTTAAGTGATGTTCACGTGAACATCGATGAGTCATTACAGTTTTAGATAGTTATAGTATAGCGATTCAGTATACGAGAATTTTAAACCGTATTTCATGAAAAACATACCTGTGTCTTATGTACTCAGAAGCGGTATGAATTGTAGAAAGTTATCAAATTAAAACGTTGTTCAGTTGTTTTGTTTTGTGAAACATAGGAAGGCAATGATCATGATGAAATTGCGGAAGGCATTGCCTTGCTGAGGACTTCATTAACAATGTCTGAACATGGAATATTATGAAGGTTGAAGAACGCTGAAAGTCTCAAAGAATGGACATGTATGGTTCTTCCAAACAAAAGCATCTAGTAGTGCCTAACAGTGAGCGATCCACTCCAGCATGCCAACGTTTGACAGTTCCTGACTATCATTACAAACTTAGTGTTGGTTTGAATTTTATTTTGTTTCCTGAAAAAATTCAAATCGAATACGAACATAACGGAGATGAGAGACAGATCGCCGACTACCAGGTGTGAAAGGGTCTCGAGACTATCCGTTAGTGAAGTGTCATTAAGTAGTCAAACAGCCCTTCTCTGATCAGCGTCGAGTACGAGCAATGTATTTGGGGCGATAGCACATCAAACATGTACATGAACAGTACTCGAGGCTGGATCTTATCTAGATCTTGTGTAGAGTGAGAAAATTGCCTAACCTCAGCGTTTAACGTTTCTTAATAATTAGAGCTCGACAAAGGGACATTGTCTGACTAAATGAGTTCCATATTCGGTAACAGCGATCTAAATAAAGTATATAGCCACTATCTTTACTGATCCATGACATAGCCAATAAAAAATGACATCAAGTAGATATTCTCACATTTACCTCCAACTCCTGCTGATAAGAGCTCTTAGCGCACGGTACATAACTTCGATCAATATTCTCTAGGATTGAATTTGTAGCAACGGGAATAGATGAAACCTTGGAATAAAAAACGCATCGCGTCTTTATTTGTTTTCACACAATCTGATAAAAATCTCGATAGAACTGCAGCAGCCATCAGAAGAGTAGTGCCATTGTGTATGCTCGATGCTCATTCCAAGCGTTGTGACAGCTTCATTTCCGGTAGAAGCTGGTGTTATATTGAAAAGGAACAAAATGGTGCACTTTGTATGTCTGGCGACATGTGTTATTGTAAAATACCTACGACAGGATGTTATTTATCAATCTCCTGTTTTCAAAAACTAAAATTTTGTATAATAAATAGTTTTTACAGATATGCATGTCTGAGTTTACTTTTGTCTTTTCCATTAACAAACCAGTATTCTGTCCATTTAACGTATAAAAAGAGCGTTCTTATTTTCAACGAAACCTTGTTTTAGACAGGTAAAATCTTAATTAGTAATATCCTTCTACAAGTAATTACACAATATAAGATATAATCACCCTATTGTTTAAAAGAAATATATTTATGTCAACATATAACTTTATGCCGTGGCTTGTGAGAGTTACATTTTTGTGTACTAGTTTACTCGTATCTCATCGAGACG